CAGTTGACTAGGATGGCAAGAAGCATTTATTCAATACAATAAAATAACCATCACTTCTGAATTTTTAGAAGCATTTATACAATAAAATCACCATCACTTCTGAATTTTCTCAGTGTAGTAATTGTGTAGCCAGTTATGTTTTATATTTTTAATAAACTTTCAAGTTGACAAATTCATATTTTGTGTACAAGCCTCACAATTGTAATGCAAGCAATCACTCTAAAAAGGACTCTTACTTTTTATTGCCAGAATAATGAGTAGCTCTTTGTTGGGGGTGGGGGTGGGGGTGGGGGTAGATACAAGGAAAGAGGAGAAAGGGCAAGAAAGAGATGAAATGTCAGAGTGGGAACTACTTTAGTTATTTATGGACTGGGAAGCCATTTGTATCTCATAAATGATTCCAAGTTTATCTTTCTATAAAGGTGACCTTTCAGTTATGGGTGCAAATTAACTTTTTGTCTGACAGTCCAGAAAGAAAATAAAAGAAACACAGGAAGGTCAGTTATGCCAGTATTTTTTCCCACTAGAAGAAAAGTCAATCATCACCATCACAGCAACTTCTCTCATTGGAGAATTATACTATAAAGTTAGGCCTGAAAAGCTGCCTCACTTTTGCCATGCACAAGTATGTAACTTTAGATCATTTTCCTCAATAACTTAATGTAAAATGTTTTTGACTCATTTGTTTAATTGGGTTCTCCTAATCTAGTTTTAAGACTAGATCCTAATGAGAATAGACCATATTATAGATCATGTTTCTGCAGAAATATTTAAAATTAGAAAGGGTTTGCAAACTTTTAAGTTTCATGTACTGCTGAATGTGGGTCATCTGTAGGTATGTGATGCGGAATCATCAGTATGCTGATGATATCCAGTTGCACATCTCCTCCTTCGACTGACCGAGTGATGATGTCAGGGGGATTTCCCAATGTCTGGAGGCTGTGATGGGGGAGAAAAAGCTTTGGCTCAACCCTGGTAAGATGGAGTTTGAAAGCCCCTAGTTCAGGGGATTTTACCCCTTTAACTCTGATGGGAGTACATTTTCCTTGTCAGAAATTGGTGTGCAATTTAGGGGTCCTCTCAGTCCCTGCTCAATGAGCAAGTGGTAGCCGTGGTGAGGGGGAGGGAAAGGGAGGCACAATTGCACAGGTTTCTCTTGTACAGTAACTGTGCCCATGCCTGAACCAAGAGGCCTTGCTCTAGTGACTCATGCCTTACCCATCCCCTAATTAGATTATTGTAATGTGTTCTGTATGGGACTGCAGATGGTCCAGAATATAGCAGTGCAGGCAGTTTTTAGTATTTCTCATTACATCCATGTAACACTGCTGCTTCATGAGCTACACTGGCTTCTTGTAGGCTTCTGGGTACAGTTCAATAGGTGCTGGTTATTACCTATAAAGCTTCTATGGCCTGGGCCCAGACTATTTGCAGGACCATCTTTCTCTTATTGCTTCTGCCCATCTTACCAGATCTATGCACCAGGTCTCTTCTCTTAAACAATGTCAACATGTTGGATCCCAGAGTTATGTCTTCTCAGTGGCAGCATCTGCCATGAGGCAAAGCATCTCTCCGAAACAGAAGAAGTAATCTTTAGGAAGAGAGGTGCATTCTGACTTGCAAGATTCTGTTATAGCACTAATAGCACTTAGACATATATACTGCTTCACAGTGCTTTACAGCCCTCTCTAAGTGGTTTACAGAGTCAGTATATTGCCCCCAACAACCTGGGTCCTCATTTTACCGACCTCGAAAGGATGGAAGGCTGAGTCAAACTTGAGCCTGGTGAGATTTGAACTGCCAAATTGCAGGCAGCCAGCAGTCAGCAGCAGTAGCCTGCAGTACAGCAATCTAACCACTGTGCCCTCATGGCTCACCACGGTTATTATATCCTTATAGAAATGGAAGTATTAGGAAACTGGAAGCGTCACGGCGATACTGGCTGGGAAATAGCGAAGCTCCGACAAGCTTCGCTGAAACCCAGCCAAACAAACTGCTGTCGGGGGAGGGGGGGTCTTCAGACCAGAACTGTCTTGGAGGGATGGGGGAGTGAGAGAGGCACCTCGGGAGACCAAGAGGAACAGGCAAGTTCCTCGGAAGGTCTGAGGTAGCTATTTGACCTGGCTGGGGGAGGCAGCCATTATGACCGCTACAAGCTGGGGCAACCGGACTAAGATTTGAGCAGGAGCAGAGATTGAACAGAGTATTGTTACCGGATGAGTGATTGGCCAACTCACAGGTAAGAAGAAATTTTTTTTTAAAGCTGGAAAGAAGTCCCAACGAGTAATTAGTAGCTAATTGGCCCTCGGGAATTCAAGTGGAGAAAAAAAAAAGATGAACTTTAAAACTAAACCCCTAAAAAGAACCTTCCACCTGGATTTAAAACTGGACTTGGAAGAAATTAAAAATAAGATAAGAAAAAGAAAACAGAGAAGTATTCTTTAAACAATAAAAGGATTTAATTTGGAGAAGAGGAAGTAATTATTTTTGTGGATTTACAATGGATACTTTGTTGTCAGGAAATTTGTGAATTGGAGAGAGACATCTACTGGTGAAAAGAAAGCATCACATTAAGTTTATGTAGACCACTGTAAGAAAATACTGGAGGAGTGTTTATTTAAACAGCTGGAGCACAATTTCAAAAGAAGTGGAAAGAACAAAGATTGGAACTGGAATGGTTCAAAAGAATATTTGAATTGGACACTATTTGGAAAGAAAAAAGAAAAAAAGAGACATTATAAGGACTTGAATTTGAACTATATGCAAACGAAAATAATAAGTTTAAAAATCTTTGCCCTTTAAATTGATAACATGGAGAACTGGGAGGATGTGAGTATGAGGAAGAGAAATGTTTCAAAAGATATGAGAAATGTTTAAAGGAAATAAAGAAGCGGAGGGTTGGTTAGAATGCAAAAAAAAAAGGAAAGACAAAAAATATGAATGAGAAGCAAAAGAAGCAAGAAGACAATATTGAAAAGGAAATAATTGAAAATAAAGATATAGATGATTAGGCTGGGATTGACAGTGATAGAATAAAAATGGATAAGGGGGATTATCTCTCAAAAAAGAAGAGGAGAGAAGGAAATGGAGAAATATTGAGAGGGAAAATTAAAAGAGTAAAAATGAGAGAAAGGGGGCAGAAAGGGAGATATAAGAAAAAGAAAAAGAAGAAGATAAGAGAATGGGAGAAAGGGAGGAAAATATCAAGAAAGGGAATTGTGGAGAGATTAAAAGAAAATGGTTAAGGGGAGAGCAGAAAGGAAATTAAAATATTAGTATGCTGATTTAAGAGAAGAATATTAGTAGTAGAAATTGTATGTAAAAAGTAATTTAGAAGAAATATATAGATTATTGTAAAAGGGATATAAGTAAGGATGAAATGAAATGTGGGTAAGCAGCCAAAAAGAAGAAATATGCGGTTTAATGTAAAATAGATCAGTAGATGCAATGTGAAAGACAGAATGGGTTATATGTTTTGCTATTTAAAGATGTATAGATTGGAGAGAAATAATAGTGGATGGTAAAGAAGTATGTCTTAAACATGGAGAACAACAAAGGAATTAATTGAAATTACGATGAAAAATTGAAATGTAAAATTGAACAAAATTAAAACGTCAGTAAATGATGTAAGTAAGAATGAAATGAAATATAAGTAAGAAGTAAAATAGAAGAAATATATTGTTAAAGATAAAATAGACTAAGGATTGGAAGCTAACTTAGCAAAGGCTTTAAGGTAAAAGGAATAAGTTGAAAAACATTGTTAATAATTAAAAAGATGAGGGGAATTTTGAGAAATATATTTAATAAATGGAGGAAAAGTCGGGGTTGCCTGGACACCATAGTGGAAAATAGTAAATGGAAAATGAATACAGCAATAAAGAGAGATGAAAGAAGGAGTAGAGGGATGGAAGGAAGGGAGGAGGAGAGAGGAATGGAAGAAAGGGAAGAGGGAAGGAAGGGAGGGAGGGGAAATAAGAGTAGGAGAGAAGGTTAGATAGGGAGAAAGAGAGGAGGGGGGAAGAAGGAAGGGGAAGTAGTGAAGGAGTAGGAGAGGAGGAAAGAAGAAAGTAGGAAGGATAAAAGAAGGGAGGGAGATGGAAGAGAATGAGAAGAAAAAATGCTGTACAATAAAAAAGATGAAATGGAAGAAAGGCAACCCCGAACATGTGTAAATGTACTAGGTTAAAGAATGAATTCTTTAAAAACAAGAGAATAAATATGAGTAAAAATAGATAAATTAGAATTTGAGGGCTAATGAAGATGTTGTTTATATAAACAAGCATAGAAATATTAAGATATGATCAAAAAACATGGAAAAAGATAATTTTGGCAGAAATTGTAACTAAGTAAAATGTATTTGGATACAATAAGTTGTATAAGATATGATATGGCCAATACTCCGTTCATAAAATATACGGGTGATGTGGGGGGAAAAAAACAATAAAACTTGATTCAAAAAAAGAAAAGAAAAAAAGAAATGGAAGTATTAGCATGCATGACTTTGGTTGCCTAAGGTCATCTACCTTGAAGGGCTGACTTCAGTCTGGCACATCTCAGTGCACTTTCCCCCTTCCTCCTTTTATTTTTGTGAGAACTAAGAAGGGTCTGTCCGAGATCCTTTTTCAGGTTACAGTTCTGGCCTAGACTTGGATATATTTTATCTGACTGCTGCCATGGTTATGGCTGTTTCTTCTGCTCCTCAAAGTTATTCCTTCTACCCATTACCCAAATACATAGACATAGATGGTGGTTAAGATGACCCCAACCCTATTAGCCTTTCATAAAGCATTGAAGACCTGGGTGTTTCCGTAGATATTTGGATCAGAGGTGAAGTGAGCTCTGCTTCTGTTAATAGTTATTAGTTTCTTATTGGGAGTGGAGCGAGGCATATCTTTTGGTCAGTTTGCATGTTTTTATCCAGAGTCACTTGTGTGAGATAGGAGACTACATAAGGGTTATAAATAAATAAAATAAAATAAAATATCAATTTAAATTCTCACCTGGATAATCTCTCCATTTGAAGCTATAAGTTCTGTAGGGATGGTGACTCTGAAGGTGCGACCTACCACAGCAGAGCTGTCTGGAATTCCCACCACTGCTGGTGCACTCTCACGGAGGTCCGAAAGCACCATATGCATGGAGGCTTCTAACTGATGTTCCCAGTCCCGTACAACTTCTGAGGTTTCACTGGGCCAATGGCACTTAGCTGAAGTAATCATTGTCAGAACCAGCAAAGTCCTCCCCAATACTGGGGGTAGTTGTACAAATCCAGGATTCATTTTAATTATATGCACCAATTATACTAGCCACAAAATAAGGCTCAGAGCCAACAATCTATATAAAATTGCTTAATCAAAAGGTCTTCACACCAGATTCATTGTTGTCAATCTTGATGCCTGAAAGAAGAACATACACAACGGTGATCAGAAAGTGAAGAAAATTCATTAAATTTTAATGAACATTAAATGTTCTTTGATTCATTTTATTAGCTAATTAGTACATGAAATCTTTCAAGAATTGAAGCTAAGCAGCCTGCCTTAGGTCCTTGCTTTTCAAATTTTACAAGTCTGTTTCAGCACAGATGGATGCCGGCCAATGTAGGACCCAACAGATTTTTCCCACATGTACTCTCTTATTCAACTAGTATCCTGCTCTTAAAGGAGCTATCAGAGATTTTTATTTACATTTTTAATCAGGCTCATGCCACCTTAGTTTTAGCAATTTCAGTATTAGAAATTCCCAAGATATTTACTGTTTCCTCCCTCCATGAGTAATTTTAATGAATCATAATAATCTAAATAAAAGAAAATATGAATTGAGGAATTATCATGGAACCAGATGACCTTTCAAGAAAACAAAAGTGCACTTGTGCAAGAATTTTACAGTTTAGTTATCAGACTAAAAGATCATTTGTAGTGAATGACAGAATTATTCCCACTATTTTGAGCTTTTTCCACACTACACTTTCAAACCATCAAATCATAACTTGGACAGCCTTTCTATATGATCTTTTTTCCTTTGGGGACAAAGTTCTATGTAAGACACTCTGTAATCCTTAATCCACTATGCCATATTGCAAAAAATGTATGTGTTTATTTTGACAAGTATGTATACAGCAAGATCCCTCTGAAAATCTAGACTTCCTATTTCAATTATGACAAAAGTTTGCCCACATCCACACATAATGAACTTTCCACACAGGGAGTGAAAGCAACACTCCTTCTGAAATACAACCCTCAAATTCTCACTCTGGACTACTACAGTCATAAACTACAACAAAACCATAAATCACTATTAAGTAACCTCTGGCAGGGAAGTGTTCTAAAACTGGCTATCCTCCCACTTTCCTTTTGGTACTGCAATAATTCCAAATAAGTATTGGTTTTTAAAATATACAGGTTAAACAAGAGTTAGTAGATAGTTACATTTCATTATATCCAAAATGTAGAGTGTTAACAGTGATAATACATAGCTATGCAGTATTTGGTATACTATTTGTGGCTATTTATATTGATATTGTTTCCGGATTGCTTATTTGTACCCTATGACTATCATTAAGTGTTGCACCTTATGATTCTTGATGAACGTATCTTTTCTTTTATGTACACTGAGAGATATGCTCCAAGACAAATTCCTTGTGGTCCAATCACACTTAGCCAATAAAAAATTCTCATTCTCATTCTAATTTTAATTCTATTTTTAATCTATTTTTTAAAAACTCATGTAAAATATAATGTTCAGAACAATTCACATATGTAAATTATAAATTAGATTAATATTTGCATTGATGAGTCATTAAAAACCCAAATTTTCAACACCAATAAACAATTTATTTCTTGAAATTTTTGGCTCACATTCAGTTTTCAGTTAATCTTTATTCCAAAATCTTTTTCATAAGCATTATCAGGTGAGGTATCTTCATCCAATACTCGTGCATTTGATTCCTCTTTCCTCATTCTGTTTTGTCTTTACACTTGCCCCTGTTAAATTTCATTCTGTTTTCTCAGTCCAATTAAATGTTATTTTTATCTTTTAGACAATTAGCTATCTTACCCAATGTTGTATTATCTGCAGACTTGGTAACTATTCTTTCTGCCACCTCATTGAAGTCATTCAGGTTCTAAGCCTTGTAGCACCTCAATCAATAAACTTGGAAAGAAACAACTGATGTGTACTTTGGTCCACATCCAAAAGCAACTGATCATCTACAGATATGATTTCTCCCTCTTTCTTCACTCATTACTGAAAATATTGAAGAACAATGGCCTTCGAGGTAATACAGACAAGAGGCACAACAAAGAGTACCAGTTCTATCTTTATTGTAAGATTACATTAACTGGTCTTGCAAGACTAAAAATATTTCTCCCTTCCTTTTCTTTTGTTCTCCAGAAAACTAGGGAGTGTCCCTTCCTGTGCCTCCTCCTTCTGTGGGCCAACGTAATTTTTACACTCCAGTTTTTCAGTCTACAACTCTCCCTCCTGTCTTTTAAGGTTATTCTCACATACCATTACACCACAACTGATACCCAATTTGATACTTCCCTATTTCAGAAACCACCAATAAGCAACCTTGGAGTATGATTTCCAAGCTAGCTATAATATTCACTTAATTACATGCCATCTAGCTCACATTTAACTACTAGTTAACCAACTTGTCATAGAGTATTTATAGGGATTAGCTGCACTCAGAAGCACTCTGATTACCTGTACACATTTTACTGTGTAGGCTGTTTACATCAAGAGCCACTGATCTGAGCTAAGCAATGGATTCCTTTCAGTATAGTGTATTACTGAACAATAATAAAAATACATGTGTGATGACTGGTGTAATATACATGTACAGAGCATATTTCTATCATTTAGAAATATTTGCAACCTTTCTGCAAAGTTTAACTAAGTATTTTTTTATATTTGGCGTTTCTGCTAGTCACTGTAAATTCAAGTACAGTTGGTGGAAGACACTGCAACTAAGACCCAGAAAAAGCGAGCAGATCATTTCTGCTGACTGCCGGCTGCCAGCAGTTCGGAAGTTTGATTCTCACCGGCTCAAGGTTGACTCAGCCTTCCATTCTTCCGAGGTCAGTAAAATGAGGACCCAGACTGTTGGGGGCTCAGGACTTTCCTTTAGAATTATTTTATCAGCCTATTTTTCTAATGTATTATTCTTTCATTTGCTATTTTCTTAAGAGTCGTATCCCGTCAAACAAGGATTTTCAGCTGACAGGCTCCAGGAGAAGAGCCTTCTCTGCCATGGCTCCTGCCTTCTGGAACATCTTACCCCTGGGGTGAGATTGGCTCCCTCCCTCCGGACATTTCAAAAGAGCCTGAAGACCTGGCTCTGCCAGATGGTTTGGGGACCCGATGGGAAGCTTCATACTGGAGGTGGTTGTTTAATTAAAACCTAATCCCAATTCCCCACCCCTTGTGTGTCTGGCCCCCACCTTTCCCATCTGGTTTTAATGGTTTGTAATTGTCTATGGTTTTATCTACTGTGTGCCATGACTGTTGATTTTAATGTCTTTTCTGTTTTAATATTTTAGACTGCTGTACGCCACCCAGAGTCATTGAATACGAGATGGGTGACAAATAAATTTTCTAAATAAAATAAAAATAATACATTTTCTAAATAAAATAAAAACAATAAATAAAATAAAATAAAATCCCAGTCTTCCAGTAGGAATTCATGGCAGAGTACAATGTGCTCAGTCCTCCAATTTCTCCCCACAAGAACCCAAAGTTCAAAGTCAATTAATTTTTCACAGCTGACTAAATTTGGTTCATCTCAATTTTAATTAACAATTCTAATCCTTTTACCACTAGTTCTATATATTCTTAATAATTTAGTGTTGGGGAAATTAAAGTTACTTAAGTTTTACTATTTGCCACCGCTCCAGCTTTTATTGTATGAATCTTATTGCATTTCAGTACAGGAGAATATATTTTCTAATCAATCCAAACCATGTTTTGCACACTGTTTTGGAAGAAATAATATTTTCCTTAACTCTCATTAGGATGCAATTTTCATGGTAGACAGATTTCAACACAATGGTTGCGCCCAATGAATTTTAACTTTATTGTGCAATTTCTACTATTCCAAATTCTATTCCATGATTACCCATAATATTTGACTGTTATTTACACTTACTATCGATAGGATTTTTTGTATGTTTATCATTTTTAATATTGTTACCCACTCAAACTTATGTAGTTGAGGTGGACAGTGCTATAAATCTACCAAATAAATATTGAGGAAAAAAAAGCCCTGAAGGACCTGATTTCTGTCTAACAACACTGTTTATATTAAATTAAGATTTCTGCTCACATCTAGCTTCAACTAGTTCAGATTGCTCTATACTAGTTGCACCTCAATCCCAGGCTCCTGTGAAAATTGGAAGTGCTCCTTACCTAGCTTGGACTCAGCCATGAAGAGATACTTTTGTCTTCCTGTGAGAGAAAAGCCAAATGGATCTGGCCCATTTTCTTTTTAAAAGTCCATTTGATTGAGAAAAACCTAAAAATCTTCTTCTGCTTTGTTGATTAGATTTCCATTTTTCTGGCTTTGATAACTTCTGTTCTATTTAGACTGATAGGATGGATTTGATTGACATACTGTATGAAGTTGAAGGGTTTTTTATAACTCTTTCCTGCTTGAATCCCTTAAGATAGGATTTCTCCGCATTCACTATAGTAATACAAAATGCTATACTATAGCTATATATGTATAGATACATGTAAAAATGAGAAAGAGAAAGCAAATTTGGAGGGGGGGGAAGGTATTCCTCTAATGTCCATAGAGTGAATGTCCAGATGAAAAGAGAGGTCTGCAGCCAGCACCTAAACAATATAATGGTAGATTCCTTTTAGATTTTAGAGGAAAATGTTTAGAAAATGTATAGAAAGGGCACAAAAGATTGCACTGCAGTGCTAGACACATGCAATAGACTTCCCCTGATGATCCTGATCTCAGCAACTATCTTTAACAGCAAAGGCAATCCATCAAATATCCTAGTCCCAAATTGGTCAGGGCTTTATATATGTCAAACCTTGAACCCTGTTCAGTAATAAGCTGTCACCAGGGTAGATGTTTCAATAGAGATGTAGTAAATGTATTAGAAAAATGGCTGCAGCATTTTACACTAGTTGAAGGTTTGGAACTAGAGTAAGGGTAGCCTCATAGAGCACAATGCAGTATATGTAATCATCAATTTAGGACCACAGTTGGGACTGGAATCTTGAGCAAAATGGTTGTTAAGGGAGATGCCCACATGACTGCTTTGCTCAATGACCATAATTCTGGCATTCCTGGTTGAGCTGTCAAGTGATCTCCTAGGTTATTAAGCAGATGGAGCAAAAGAGCTGCCTGCAAAATTCTGCTCTCCTCTGTGCATGGAAGGAA